GTCTTATTTTATTCACCTACTGTTTTTGTTTTTGTATTTGCACCCCCCCTCCCTTTTTGATTGTAAGCCGCCCTGAGTCCCCTCAGGGAAAAGGGTGGCCTATAAATTCCAATAAAATACTCAAAAAAATAATAATACTCAAATATCTTATATATAAAGACTTACCCCTCCACATATAAAGAGCTGCAGTAGACAGAGCCTATACTCACTTTGAACACTATTTTTTAATGTTAAAGAATGTTTGGGTCCGTCGTACAAAAAAATGACTTAAGCATGGATGTGTTGAAATTGCTCATAGAAAACCCATTGATTTTTAATTGTGAGATCCTTTGTGCTATATGATTATTTTCTTGCAGATGTTTCATTACTGAAACTAGATAATGTCATCTGCTTTTGGTAATAAAACATCTACAAGAAAACAACCAAGCACAGAGAGCACCAAGGACTCCTCATTTCAAGCATGAACTACAAATATTATCATTTATTTATTTATTATTTATTTATTTATTTATTAGAATTTGTTAGAATCATCTAACAGTATTTTTGATTATGCTAAAGTAGTACACTATATCAACTGTTCTTTTTAGGTTTTACAAACCTCCTTGATTATGGCTGAAGAATTACTATGATGAATAAGATATAAATAAATGTATCTGGGGACTATTTTCTAGTTTATGCATGATTGTGCAACTTTTATGATTACATTTTTTAGTTTGTAATAGCCAGGAATTGATCAGATTATAATGGCATTTATTTCCAGTTAACTTTATAAAAAGCAACACATGGATATTTAAGGTGTCGATACAGGCTTTTCAATTCAGAGGTCACTCTTTTTTCTCATTTCAGCTCCTGCAGCTGTCACAAATCTGAAAGTTACAGAACGTACCACTGGACGCTTGTCATTCAACTGGACTACTTCTCTGGGAGAATTTGATAAATACGATATTTTTTTGTATAATCCAGACACATCTCTTCAGGACAGGAATTCAGGAAACCAGAATCTCCAAAAGTATTCCTTCCAGAATTTGGTGCAAGGCAGACTGTACAAAATTGTGATTGTTACTCACAGTGGCAAGCTTACTAAAGAAGCGTTCATTTTTGCAAGAACAGGTAAACCTTTCATGAGCTAATCCACCTACAGGAAAATGGACTCTGAAAGCATCAGTGGGTTAGTTGAACTGTGAAAAGCTATTATTTATAGACCTACTAATAAACAATATCACAGTTTCTGTAGTCCTTCCTGCCTGCTTTACAACTTTATAGAGAATGGGAAAGTTCAAATATCATAGTTAAACTATGGTTTAATGAGGTATAAACAAACCAGGCCTTACTTAGGCTCCCACATTTCTCGTTTATATCTCACGATAACCTTTCTCATGTTTCTTTTGATTGCCCATCTAGAACTTGTTTGGAAACTTTACACTTTACTTTTGATTAATCAAAGTTTTCTTTATCATGTCATAATTAATTTAACTGTGGTTAATTTAAACAAGTATGGTCTATAAAACACAACTGAAATCTATAATCCAAAATTAATTAAAACAGAAACAAAATTTATGAAGACTTTTTCATCATCAGATCATCAAAATGAGCAAAAGTCCCCAATCTTACATTAAAATGCCTTCCTATGTCACAAATCCATGTGACAATCCAGTAGGATAGTAAGATTCTACTTGGTGTTAAATTTTGAGCCTCTTTAAGGAAGCCAATCACAAGTAATAATTCTAAGGACTTTGGGAATTCAAAAGATGTTTATATTTAGATTTAGACTTAAAATAACTTTATTGTCATTTTGAATGTATACTAATCGGCATACATTAAAATGAAACTTTGTTGCATATGCATACAGCATACAGCTTTCAAAGGGTCACCACCTCCAATATATACTATATAAACATAACCAAAAAATAAAAATAAATACAAAATTATGCATATACCACATATATTATATGACACAGAGAAACAACACAGTCTACTCCAGATATGTACATGTACTTGACAAGTAAAACAAATCTTGTGAATGTAATAGACGGATGGCATAGGGAACAAAACTATTACAAAATCTGGTAGTCCTGCCAGAAATACTTCGAAACCTTCTTCCAGAATGGAGCAACAGAAACAGACTGTAAAGTGAGTATGTGGGATCTCTAACAATGCTTCAAGCTCTAAGTATATAGTGCTTATAAGCAGTATCCTGAATAACTGGAAGTGAGCGTCCTATAAGCTTCTTGGCTATCCTTACCACTCTCTGAATGGCCCTTTTATCTGAGGCACTGTTGCCACCAAACCAAACAGTGATGCAGTTTGTTAAAAGATGCAAATGCATATGCAACAAAATTTCATTTTAATGTATGCCGATTAGTATACATTCAAAATGACAATAAAGTTATTTTAAGTCTAAGTCTAAATATAAACATCTTTTGAATTCCCAAAGTCCTTAGAATTATTACTTGTGATTGGCTTCCTTAAAGAGGCTCAAAATTTAACACCAAGTAGAATCTTACTATCCTACTGGATTGTCACATAATTGTCTCAATTATGCTTTTGTAAAAACTGGCCAGGATAGGAGGAGAAAAATGTGCTCTTCTCATCCAATGCAGGAAATGCAGATGCTGGTTTGCATGCTTCACTAAGGATGATGTGTGGAGAAACCAGTTCAGGCTGTTAGTTATCTGCACCCCCAGATACTTAATACTGTTGACCACCTGAATCAGCTGAATCCTTGATACTGAGTGGAGTATGACTATGCTGGCTCTTTCTAAAATCTACAATGATCTCCTTTGTTTTATTAACATTTAGAACCAGGTTACTTTTATTTATTTGATATGCAGAAGTGCAAATTAGTGGCTGGTATAAATGTTGAGCATTCTCTATTGTCTTCTGTTTAGACCCAGCTCCAGTTAGCAATCTCAAAGGATGCAATAGGAATATGACTAACGGCCTATGGTTTACTTGGAACCCAGCACCAGGAGATGTTGATTATTATGAATTACATCTTTATAACACAAATGGTACACAGAAGGAAGCACAACGTGGAAAAGATCTGACAGAATGGCATTTCCAGGGTTTAGTTCCTGGTAGAAAATATACTCTTGTCGTGGTTACCTATAGTGGTGAGCTTTTTAATTCAGCTAATACAGAGGGACGAACAGGTAAATAACAATCCTGTCTTTTTTTATGTTATTGGAGACATATAATCAAATTCGGCATGTAGTCTTTGTCTCTTAATGTCTGCACCATGAAAATATTTTTATAAGTGCTTTATAATCCAAATCTAACCATCTTTTTTCTCAGAAGAATGTTTTATTGCATTCAGTGGAGCTTTCCTCCAAGTAATTAATATATGGATTGCCAGATCATAGGTACAGCTTTGAACAACCATATATGATTGTAAAACAAAATAATATAAGTTTCATTGATGTTTTCACAGTGATCCATGTCTGGTTCAAATGCATCAGGAACTGAAAGATAGCTCTAATAAAATGTATATAATTCATTTCACCAGTTCAGATCATCAGAGATGGGTGTAATCTGCAATTCCATTAAAAAGTAAAAGGAAATCAGCATGCTGAGAATCCAATATTGTGAAATTAAAAAGCAAAATACTAATATTTAAAATTGAAAGTGAAATAGATAAAATCTGATTACATGTTTCAACTTTGAATCAAACTATATCTCAATAACTGTTGGAAGTAAAGAGATTCAGGATACTATCAGCCTATTTTTCAGTAGGTGACTCCCTGATAACAACTCTAAAGAATCATGTCAAATTTGGTGTGGCAGGAAGAAAAGAAAGACCATGTTAAACATGGTCTGAATTTGGTTAGAGGCTGCAGATAGAAAAAAAGTCCAGACAAAATTGGACAACTTTGCATGTTGGTGGCTGTTCCATTCTCATTGCCTCCTCCATTTCCAGTTACATAATTTACAACATTATTAAGGAACTAAAAAGAATTGAGAAATGGATTTGCTGCTTGTTTTCTCTGATTCATTTTAATTAAAACTTTGTGATTTGTTATTTCCTAAATAGAATTCTATAAATGGGTTTCTTTCATTCAAATTTCTAGAACAGGGGTTTCTAAACTTGGTTACTTTAAGAATTCCCAGAATTCCTAAGCATGAGAAGACTTCTGGGAGTTGAAGTCCACAAGTCTTAAAGTAGCCAAGTTTGGAGACCCCTATTCTAGAATTATGGTCTTTAAGTGTACTACCTACTCAAGTGAAATATGATTGTGTTTTTCTGTTTTTCTATCTTAAGTGCCAATCCCTCCCAGTACTATGTCATTTGCTGATGTGACCAACACCTCTTTATCCATTGCATGGCTGGGCCCTCCTGATTGGACAGACTATGATGATTTTGAGTTGCAGTGGACCCCCAAAGATGCCCTCACAGTCTTCAATCCTTACATTAGCAGCAAATCAAAAGACCGCATCTTGAATGGCCTCCACCCAGGGAGGCTCTATCACTTCAGTATCAAGACAGTTAGTGGTCCAGTTCGGAAGACTTATAGTAAACCCCTGCTTGGAACTGTGAGGACAAGTAAGAACTAGCAAGATCTTTTTTAATTGAATCAGGACACTGATAAGAAAGCTTGATAGATTCAATGATAATATCAAAAATCAGCATAAACCATTGTTGCAGATTCAAAACCTTTTGGTAATGCCATCACCATGTTGCTGATTTCTTGGATTTTAACTTTTCTTCTTGCATCATTACCCTCAGCTAGAAGAACTAATGAATAAATTACCTGTGATACCAGTTCACTTGCCATCTTTCCCAAGACCTTGTCCTTTCTTGTGAATCTTTCATTTCTCTTCTGGCTAGTCCCATTTCCTCATATCCTTTGCAGCAATTTTGTGATGCTCTGTAGGTGTACCCTCCCCCTTCCCCCTGCCTCAATTTTCCAGTGATCATTTTTCCAGCTGGCCAAAGGAAGATAGCATCCAGCTCCTGTTCTTGTTCTCCCCTTGCTGTATTTGTTTTTAGTGGCAAAGAGGGAAGCGTCTGAAAAATACAATCCTGGGAACTGGGCAAGGTGGGAGTTCCCACCAGTGGGAAACTTCCCCTTCTCTTAGTAGCAGTAACTCATCAGAACTCAGGTTCCCAACTCCCACAGAAGGCATCCATCAATGTGTTAAATCACCAAGACTCTTTGGAGTGAAGTTTTAAAATAAACCAATATGGCATATGAGGGTATTGTAAATCTCAACTCAGCGCAAACTAAGTCTTAGGATGTTTATTGTACATTTCCTGTAAACCTCTAACATTTAAGGTTATCATAAATAATTTACTGCAATTTAAACAAATTATTTAAATTATGATTAAGTTGGAAACTTAGCAATAATGAATTAATAATCTAGAATTTGCTATTCCTCCAATGTTAAAATTGTGGCAACATCATTTTCTTTGATAGTGTGATACACTAAATCAATAAATCTCTTTGATAAAACCAGTACATGATGTAAGTACAAATATAAATGCATAATCTTGATTTTGTGTCTTCTTCTTTTCAAAGGGCCGGAGAAAATACAAAATTTACATTGTCGGCCACAGAACTCGACTGCCATTGCATGCTCCTGGATCCCTCCTGACTCTGACTTTGATGGATATAGCGTTGAGTGCAAGAAAATGGACACAGAGGAGATAGAATTCTCTAGGATCATAGAGAAAGAAAGATCTGTATACAACATCATGTCCCTTGTTCCCCACACAAAATACTCAGTGTCTATCAAAGTGCAATCAGCTGACATGACCAGTGAGATGGTAACAGGCAATAGCATCACTATGATAGATCGTAAGTCACTTCTGAATGCACACACAAAGCTTAATGAAGGAGAAAGTATAGCAGGGGTGTGGCAGGAAGGCCTCCAATATGTGATAAATGACTTAAAATGAATGTCAAAATCTATTGCTTTGCTGTCCTAGATGCATTTTTGCAGTGGTTTTTTCTAATTTTTAAAGTAAATGGATGTATTTCTTATTGTTACTTTTTAAAACAACTGATCTGAGATGCTTTTGGAATTAACAGAGCAAATATCATAGCGGCCAAGTAAATGACATTATATTTGTTGGGGGGGGGGAACTTGAGGGATGGAAGATACTGTCACAGATAACTGACTCTCTGTATGTAAAATCTGTATTTGAGCTGAAATATTAAATATTTCATTTGGTTCTTATTTTAAAGTGTGCTGGTTCTACACCCCTTCAGCTAATATGCAAACTGGATTGCAATTATTCTAGCTATACTTCCTCCAATTTGCAATGAAGTTCTCAGCTTGAAATATGTGTCAAAGTATATTTTGCTAAATAAATTTCATTATAACGAAAAGCATTTCTAAACATAAATGTTTCATAGATACTTCTCTTTAGGATAAAATGTATTTAGCAATAGTTATTTTGTATGAAAAATGACATTCAAGTATACAGTATATAGATGCAAATTCATGTGGCTTAATGTAAAAACAAATGAATGAGGCTAAACATATTTGTTTATAAAATGGAAACTTACAATATTCTTTTGGTTAATTTCCATTTGTAATTTTGGCACAAGACAATGGATGGCATTTGTAACAGCATTCTCACTCCCATTTAGGCCCTCCTCAACCAGCTGCATATATTCAAGTGAATAAAAAGGATGCAATTATTACCAAATCCACTATCCACTTCACCTTCAATTGCAGCTGGTTCAGTGATACCAATGGAGCTGTGAAGTACTTTACAGTGGTTGTGAGAGAGACTGATGGTATGTTTTCATAGAAAATAGCCTGCATTAATATGTGGACTTCTACCACTGATTGGTAAAATATTATTATGACTTCATGAGTGACTACAATCTAAGCTACTATTTAAATTCCAAACCAAATCTCAGAATTATTATTTAGAAGTTGTATTACATAATATTTAGCCTTTTTCTTTCTGTCTCTCCCAACCACCATCCTCTTCTAGGCAATGAAAGAACGAAGCCAGAAGGGCTTCACCCTTTACCCTCTTACTTGGAATATAAACTCAACAATTCCATCCAGATCTATCAAACAGATTACTTTGCAAGTAAATGTTCAGAAAGCCCAGAGAGCATTTCAAGGAGTTTTGATATTAAGCTTGGAGCAGAAATGGAAAATCTGGGAGGAAAATGTGATGCAAATCAGCAGAAATATTGTGATGGACCATTAAAGCCCAGGACTGCCTATAGGTGAGAATCACAAAATACAGTGTTGTTTTATTTGCATTATGCTTTCTAGACATATTTTCATCCCTGTAAATAAACAGAATCTCTTGCACCACATGATATTATTTTTCTAATAGCTTTTTTTGGTGTGTCACATGGATAATGCTAAATCAATGTTATATCACGTTTGAGAATTTTGCAGTTTTTAAACAAAGAAATAGTGTGAACTAAGAAGGTAACTAAACACCATCAACAGTGTTCAGAATAACTAAATGTCATGTTAATTCATCAGTAATTCCCCATATGTTCAGTGAAGTTAAGGAAACCTTTTAGGAATTGAGAATAGATTTATGTATAAAAGGTCTTCAGGAGTTCAGACTTAGTTCTGCACAGGAGCAGTGTACTTTTTAAAAAAATGAGTGCTTAATTAAATGTGTATATGCAAGCCTTCTGTGATAATATTTTGCACTTGGCCTTAGAGATAATCAATCTTGATCAATATGAAGCCACTCTTAGAATTCTAGTTATATAACTTATAACTAGAAAATAGAAATGGTTAGTGTTTTTATCAGACTAAACTCCTTTTCTGTAGGGGTTTTTTTCTCTCTTAAATACTCAGGCAAGTATATCAGTTGCATAAAGGCATTGTGTATTAAGTAGTGTTGGTCATGATTAGTGAGATGTAGGCATGTGTTATTAAAAAACACAATGATGTTTTATGTCCTAACTCCTGACTGAGTATGGGTATCAAATAAAAGGCTATTAACTAGGGTCTACTTAAAGGGTCTACTTAAGGGTGGCTGTGGCTAAGACACTGAGCTTGTAGATCAGAAAGGTCAGCAGTTTGGCAGTTCAAATCCCTAGTGCCATGTAAGGGAGTGAGTTCCCGTTACTTGTCCCAGCTTCTGCCAACCTAGCAGTTCGAAAGTATGTAAAAATGCCAGTAGAAAAATAGGAACCACCTTTGGTGGGAAGGTAACAGCATTCCGTGTGCCTTGAGTGTTTAGTCATGCCAGCCACATGACAACAAAGACGTCTTCGGACAGCGTGGGTCTTCAGCTTTGAAACAAAGATGAGCACCATCCCCTAGAGTCGGGAATGACTAGCACATATGTGCGAGGGGAATCTTTATCTTTACTTAACATTATGATGCTTTGCAAAATCTGACATACTCTTGCTGTGCCAACAAACAAGAAATTGGGACAGGTGTGCCAGTTCCTTTGCCAATATAATATTAATCCATATTAAGTGTTTTAGAAACAGAAGGCAGAAAGAATTGTTCTCTCATTCCCCCCTCTCTCTGTGCACATGTGTGTATGTATGTACATCTGTATGTGCATATATGTATGCATGTGTGTGTATGTGTTGTAGAGCCAGCTACAAGTATTAGTGAAAATAATGATACAAAATAAGAAAACTG